TTCGTTTCAAAGCCAAGTGCTACCTGGCTGTCAGGTCTGCTCAGCCACCCGCAGGGACCAGGAGCCAGCACTCAAAGAGTTCACTGCCTTTCTGGCAGACCACAGGCCCCCAGTTCATCCATCTGTCCAGGCATGCAGTGAGGGCCCCGTGGGGCCCAGCCCCGCAAATACAGAGACAGAAGCCACAGTTCTAAACTCAAAGAGCTCAGAGATTGGTCAACAGGCGGATCAGGAGATCATGTGGGAGCAGTGCAGCTGAGGTGTGCACGTGTGTGACAGGAGGGCCCAGCGCAGGCTGCAGGAGGCAGGGGAAGGGGTGGGGGTTAGGGCTGGGTGAGGGGCAATGCAGAGGCAGCGAGGTGTGAACACACCTGGCCTGAGTTGAGAGCTGAAGGCCACTCACTTTCACTGTGTCTACGACGTGAGGTCACGGTGTCAGGGCAGGGGTCTTGCTCATCATGCTAAGGGGACTGGACTTTCTCCTCAAGGCAGCAGGGAGCCACTGAAAATTTTTAAATGGGGGAGAGACCTGCTGATGTCACTCTGAACCTTCAAAAGTCACTCTGGCTGTGGAAGTGGAGGGTGGACCAGAGGGGGCAAGACGAGAAGTGGAGATGCCAGTTCAGAGCTGTCTGCAGCATCGAGACGAGAGTTACTACGGGCTCAGAACAAGATGGGGTTCCAAGCAAGAGGGAGAGGATGAGGCAGATTAGAGGAGCATTAGGGCAGGAGAATCAAAAGGACTTGGTAAGTGACTGGAGCCTTAGGGAAGAGAGGAGTCAAGGCTGAGTCCCCAGACATGCTGTCATGAAAGACAATACAGGGAAAGAAGATTCTAGGGCAGGGAGACATTACATGTCTGGATCTGCTGAGCGTAGGTATCTGTGCCAATGTAAAGTTCTGGGGGTCAGCACAGGGGTCTGGGCTGATGGTGTGTATTCAGAAGGCGTTGACCTAAGCTCCCTGCCCAAGTCACAGGAGGGTCTGTGATCTCCTAGGGACAGTATGAGAGGTGGAAGAGAAGCCAGCAGAGAGGACAGAACCTGGAGGTGCCAGCATGATTGAGGGAGAAGAGGGGAAGAAAATAAAGGGGTGGGGGGCAGCGAGAGAAGGCACAGGGGAGGACATGGGAGGGGAAAGAGGCTGTCATCGGTGGTCTCTGCCCAGCAGAGGCCAGGTGGGCTGAGAACTGGGAGGATCCACCGCTGAGTACTGGGAGCCTCTGCTGGAACCATCTGGTAAGCCCCAAAGGCACAGGCCCACACCCCAGGGTCTCCAGCCGCTGCCTGGTCCCAGTAGATACTCAACAGAGCTGAGGGAAGGGCAGGAGGGAGAGAGGCCCAGGTGTGGCCGACCATAGTGGGTGGGGTGCCACTGCGCCCCTCCCTGGTCTCAGGGTCCCAGGTATCAGGTGACTCCAGCCCCGGAGGGGAAGGTGTATGCACCTAAGGGCGGTGGTCAGACCCCCAGGACTGACGCCAAGCACTATTCTGTGGGTGGGTCTGCACTAGATTGGCAGAGTGTTCAACTCTACCCTGGGCACAGCAGCCTGGGGCATC